TAAAAAGGAGGGAGACACAGCCATGCTCTCACCAATGAAATGACACAGAATCACCACCTGCTTTAGAATTAAAAACTAAGTGAACTTCCTGTCCCATGTGTTTACAGCTTGGTTTTGGTCATGACCACATTTTTTTGGGGGAGGGGTGGTTTCGAGGCAGGGTTTCTCTGTGGCTTTGGAGGCTGTCCTTAAACTAGCTCTTGTAGACCAGGCTGGTCTCGAACTCACAGAGATCCAGCTGCCTCTGCCTCACGAGTGCTGGGTTTAAAGGGGTGCGCCACCACCGCCCGGCGACCACACTTTTTGTAAAAGTAAAAAGAAATTGCCTTGACGGGTTACTTTCACCTTGTTCAACACCGGAATATTTTTTTCTCACAGATGTATGCAGGGAGACTCACTGACAGAGGAACCAGGGGCTGGGGCGATGCTTCTACACACCAGGGAACATCTTCAGCCACTGCTTGTTCTCCAAGAGGAAGGAGCCCTGTTCAGATTTTCACCCCGTCCTTTAGTCTCAGGACTGCGAGGCAATCATTTCTGTGTCTAAGCCACTATGGCAGCGCCAGGAAACCAATTCTGAGTTTGTGGTTCTAAGCGCACCTTCCTTTGACTCTAACACAAATGCAGCAAGTTCAAATCCAGTCCCAAGACAACAAGGGTAGACAGTGGGTTTAAGCCATCTATGAAGTAAGTAGATATGGCATGTTTTTTTTCCTTTCTTTCCTTCCAGGACAAGGTCTCATGTAGTTCAGGCTACTCTTGAATTCACTATATAGCTGGGGAAGACCTTGAACTCTTGATCCTCTTGCCTCCACAGGTATGTGCTTCTATGTCCAGTTTATTCAGTGCTGGGGGGTGGAACCCATGACTTCACGTATGCTTGTTGGTAAATGTTCTACCAGCAGAGCCACATCCCTAGTCCATGAGGTTTAAGGGATGGTGAGTTCCTAGATGAGGCTGCCAGTTCCTTGGTAAGCCTTCCCAAATGGTCTTGAATAATCAGGGCATTCTGAGAATTCTGACAGCCTCTCTGTGATTCTCTTCTTCTGCCTCCTCCCCATGGCTGTTGTCCTGAAATCTGCCCTAGTCCCCAGCATATCTTTCGTGGGCATCTGTTCTTATTCTGTGTTCATAGCCAGTATCGCACACTGCAGCACTTTCTGTTTCCAGGTTTTCACCTGAGCCTTCTCGAGCATTTCCAGGCAAGGCAGAAGAATTCCTATGCCCAAGCCCACTTCCTCTAGTTTCAGTCCAGACTTCCCTCTGGCTGGCAGAGTTCCAGGGAAGAGCAGGGTTGGGAGAAAGTGGTAGAACTTTGGGGCTGACTGATTGACCAGAACTGCCAGTGGCTAGAGGTGACAAACCTCACCTGCTCAGGCCTGAGCAAGGAAGTGATCTAACTAACCCAGTCCAACACAGAGAAGGACCAAGTGATATTGACTTTGTTCCCTGTAAGAGCAAGCCTGCGGGTGTCTATGAAGGGAATGGACCCTTTATAATTCAAAGAGGGAGGTAGAAAGAAACCCAGTCCCATCCCATCCTTATCTGTCTGTCACTATGTGCCCAGGTGGTGACACACAGGCACGGCAGCTCTTTGGGTGAGGTCTAAAGGCAGTGTGTGGAATCAGGTTCCCAGGTTATACCTTCTGGCTCCTTTGTGTGTACTCATGGGCCTGAGGTGGCAATTCTATCTATTGTTCCCACCCCATAACAGCAAAATGAAGACAGGTACCACTGTGAGGACCAGACTAGTTTGGGTCATGAGATCACACAGGCCCTGGTCACATGTAAAAACTGTCCTGTTCCACGAGCTTCCTGTTCTGTTTGGGGTTCACCTCTTGCCACGCCTCTCCCTTCAGCCACACCCAGTCACTCCCTGTTCTTGGGAGTACAGAGCAATTTCCACTCAGCCTAGAAGGCGCCTCATTGGAATGTTCTACTGATCCCTGGGGCTGGGCTCACATCCACTTATAAATTGAGGCCACTCCCACCAGCACAGGAGATCAGACAGTCCAGAGAACCAGGGCTACAGACCAGACTCCCCACCTCCAGGAGATCCCCAAAAGGACAACGCTTGCTGCAGCTCCCATACTCTTTCTCAGAGTGGAAACTCACACTCAGTGAGCATCTTTTTCACCCACAGGAGAGAGCTGACATCTGGGGCTTTGTCTTCACATCATTCTGAAGCGGGTTAATATGAAAAGGGCTGTTTGTGGCATAAGCCCCTGTTTTTTGGAACATGGTGTAATGGAGGTACATGGAGGTAAAGGCTGTCCACAGCCACTGAAAACACACTTTCCCACCACGCACATCTGGGCATTGTTTTACGAGTGAGACAACCCACCTCCAGCAACATGACCAGAAACTTCCACTATACATTTCTTCCTTTTGTCTTCTTATGTTGGGTCAGGTTAAACGTAGCCCAGAATGGTCTTGAATTGGACATGTAGCCAAATATGATACTGGATTTTGTTTTGTTTTGTTTTTTCAATACAGGATTTCCTTGTGCAGCCCTGGCTGTCCTGGAACTCAATTTGTAGACCCGGCTGACCTCGAACTCACTGAGATCTGCCTGCCTCCCTCCCGAGCACTGGGATTAAAGGTATGTGCCACCACTGCCTGTCTGATACTGGATCTTTGATCCTGCTGCCTCCATTACAGAAGTGATAAGATCATGGTGTGCGACTCCACACCCAGTTTATGCAGTGCCAGTGATGGATTCCAGGGCTTTGTGCATGCTAGGCAAGCACTCTACCAGCTAAGCTAGAGGCCTAGTTTGTTTTACTGTACTTGACAGTCAAGAGTCTGTATTGAAGACTGTATTGAGGACTGTGTTATGCTAG